TTTCTAGATGATCAGGAGGGATGATACTGAATATTGCAGGTTACTCTTTGAATACATGACGGCTGCATCTTTGTGTCCAGTATGATAATTGCAAATGGCCCGCAATCCTCGGAGTCTTGCCCATTTCCATGTTACGTCTGTTGTTGGTGCATCTCAGTCATTGTTCTTTTTTTAGGACGGTGAGAGTGTGCAAAGGCAACATGAGCTTTGGCTTCACTCTCAGGGGTCACGCTCCTGTGTGGATCGACTCGGTCATCCCCGGTAAATCCAACATCCAATCATACGCTTGTTTCCAGATGCTTTAGTGAGCAAATGTCTTCTTGCTTTGACTTGTTTTGCTGTGCAGGGAGCGCAGCAGACAAGGCGGGTCTAAAACCAGGAGACCGCATCCTGTTTCTCAACGGACTTGATATGAGGTCAAACCAATCAAATTTGTTTCTGCGTTGACGAGATTCTTTTGTTGGTTTCAGAACAAATTTCATGAAAGTAGCTCCTTCCAGGATTATTATCACTGAAATACAATATGTCCTCAAAGGCTCCACTTTGATGCCATCCCCCATTCGTATTATCCACTTATGAGTTCGTAGCTGTTATCATTCACTGACACTTTGGAGGCTAACCCGCCGTCGTCCTTCACACATCATAATGTGTGTGGCCTTAGGACCTCTTCCCATGAGAAGGTGGTGTCCATGCTGCAGGGAAGCGGTGCCATGCCCACCCTGGTAGTGGAGGATGGCCCGCCCTCGTTCGCCATGTCGGAGCAGGACCCGGCGGGGGGCGGCGGCATTCCCGCAGAGCGCGCTCGCTCCCCCGTGCTCAGCTCCCTGCAGTGGGTGGCCGAGATCTTGCCACCCAGTATCCGAGTCCACGGCCGCACCTTCGGCCAGCAGCTGGAGCACCTGCTGACCATCCAGGAGAAGTACACCATCTGCAAGGCTCTGGAGAACTTCTTCCAGCACAGGTGGGCAAATAGAAGCCAAAAAAAGTGTATGTCTGTATGGGAATGAATTCCAAGATGTGGTGTTTCCATGGCGACAGGAATGTTGACACACTGATCGTGGACGTGTTCCCGGTGCTGGATACGCCAGCCAAGCAGGTCATCTGGCAATTTGTTTACCAGTTGCTGACGTATGAAGAACAAGAACACTGCCAGAACAAAATCTCGCGCTTTCTTGGATTCAAGGCACCAGGTGGGAGAACAACTTCTTCTGCTTTTACGGCATTGGATTTTTTTTTT